AGAAACTGATACGACTCCCACCCCAAGCACATTTTTGAAACCCTCTTGTGTGTTTATTGAATGAAGGTATTGTTTTCCCTAAATACAGAATGGGAAACAGGCACAGAGAGGTTAAATAATTTGCCCCAAGTCATACTGCCTGCAAAGAGCAGAGCCAAGCACTGAACCCAGGAAGGCTGGCTCCAAACTGTCTTACTCTCATCTCTGACACTGTGCTGCCTCTTTGTTCAACATGTCTCTGTATATTGAGCCCAAATCTACCTTCCTCCTTGTAGTTTCTTCCCATTTGTTGTAATTCTGTCTTCTGAAGCAGTGACAGCAATATATATGTGGCCTATAGTTAACAAATGCTTGTACATATGCATTAGCAAAGCAGAATACCTTTTTCTTATTCATGTTCCTTCAAATATTTGAAAATGGCAATCCTAGGCTAACAGTATCTAACTCCTTCAACCTTCCTCAAAGTATTGGTTTCTAGAAAGAGTATTTTTTAGAATTATGAATATTTCAGGTGCAGAAATCTGAATAAACTAAGTATTCATACTATTGACCACCTAGGTTAAGAAATAAAATACAGGCCAGGAGCAGTGGCTCACACCTGTAGTCCCAGCACTTTGGGAGGCCGAAGCAGGAGGATTGCTTGAGCTCAGGAGTTTGAGACCAGCCGGGGCAATATGGCAAAACCCCATCTCTACAAAAAAATACAAAAATTAGCCGAGCATGGTGGTGCACACCTGTGGTCCCAGCTACTTGAGGGGCTGATAGTGGGAGGATCGCTTGAGCCTGGGAGGTTGAGACTGCTGTGAACTGTGATAATGCCATCGCACTCCAGCCTGGGCAACAGAGGGAAACCCTGCCTAAAATAATAATATAAAATAATACTATAGGTAAAAGAAAAGCCCCTTATGTATCTTTAATGATCCCACTCCCTTCCATTTCCTGATGTACCCATTCCCTGGAATTTGGGGTATATTATTCTCATGCATTCTTTTCTGCAAATGTTTGCATTCTCTATTTTGCATGTTTTCTATATCTGATATCATACTGTCTAGCTGCTTTTTCTCTTCAATGTTATCTTTAATTATATTAATCCATCAATACATTAGCTTTTTAACTTACTAATACTACTTTTAATTGATAAATCAAAAATTTTTACATTAATGGTGTATGATGTGATGTTTTATACACACACACACACATGCACACACACACAATGTGGAATGATTCAATTAAGCTAACATATTCCTCACCTATTTTTTTGTGGTGAGGCATTTGAAATTTGCTCAGCTATTTTGAAATATACAATACATTTTATTGACTGTAGTCACTCTGCCATGCAATAGATCTCAAACCTCCTCACTGAAACCTTATGCCCTTTGATGAAAAACTTCTCATTCCTCACTCCCTTCCCTAGCATGTGGTAACTACCATTCTACTCTCTACTTCAATGAGTTCTGCTTTTTTAGATTCCACTTATAAGTGAGATCATACAGCATTTGTCTTCCTGTGACTGGCTTCTTTCACTTAGCATAGTGTCCTCCCTTTCCATCCATGCTGTTGCAAATGGCAGAATTTCCTTTTTAAAGGCTGAATAGTATTCCAAATATACCACATTTTCTTTATTCACTTATCCACCGACAGTTTGATTCCATATCTTGGCTATTGTGAATAATACTGCAATAAGCATGGGAGTAGTTTGGACATATATCCAGAAGTCAGATTGCTGGTAGTTTTTTTATTTTTTATTTTTAAGAGACTGGGTCGTGCTCCGTCACCCAGGCTGGAGTACAGTGGCACAATTATAGCTCACTGCAGCCTTGAACCAGACTCAAGCGATCCTTCCACTTCAGCCTCCCAAGTACCTGGGGCTACAGGCATGTGTCAACACACCTGGCTTAGTTTTAGTTTTTTTGAGAAATCTTTATACCACTTTCCATAATGACTGTACTAATTTACATTCCCACCACAAAGTACAGGATTCCTTTATCTCAACATCTTTGCCAACACTTACTATTTTTCATCTTGTTGATAATAGCCATCTAACAGGTGTGAAGTGATAGCTCATGTGGTTTTAATTTCTATTTCCTTAACGTTTAATGATGTTGAACATTTTTTTCATGAGCCCATTGGACATTCATATGTCTTGAGAAATATCT